CTTCTCCTGTTCTTCAGTTGTCCAGTTATCTCGATTTTCGGTTATTGAATTATCTCGGTGATTCATTGACCTCATCCGGCCTCGTCGTCAAGGCAGAGGACAACGTGGATCTTCCAGGGCGGCTGTGCCGAGACCACAGGCCATTTTTGGTGTGTTGGTGTCGAAGACAAACCAAACCACCTTCCAACTGGCCAGCCTCAGTTTAGGTCTAGTTTGTAGCTAATTCGAGCTGTGGTCGGTGACAGACAATACGACCTGACGACGTCGATGATCATTGAGGTTCTCATTTCTCTATGCCCTTCCACAATTGGCCTCTCATCCACCAACACCGCCCAGTTGGCTGGTAACTTCGTTGTCTCTCACTCCCGAAGACGACGACATCTTCTCCAGAGCCAGTTTAAAAGAGCCGGCCATATAATCTAATCTCCATGCGGGTCTGCTGCTGACAATGTTGACGAATATGAGTATCATAATGATGATGATGCTAATGCTGCCGATTTTTAGTATGAAAATAATAATGATGGCATTGATGCTGCTGCTGTTGTTACTGAAGTTTATGATACCACTACTATGATTACTACTTCTATTATGACTATCATTATTATTATATTTACCGATGATGATGATGAGGGGGTGGTTGACTTGCTCTCGGCTTGTGGAGATGGCAAATTCGTTGCAGTACGCAACTAATCCCCCCCCCCGTAAAATGGGGCTTTAACCCAGAGCTGCCTGCGACCAGAACTCTTTAAAACTAACATATATTCTTGTGACCGGGTTGAGAAGAATCCAGTAAACCATGGAATCTGTTGTATATACGTAGAATCTGCGGGTTTCTATGACTCCTTTGAGATAACATTGTTATATAGGCTTCCATTTCGTATAAAAAATGGATGATGAAGAGATGCGTAGGTCAATCTCATCAGAAGTTTACGCCTGATTCGCGTTGCTGTGCAGTCGTTTTGCTTTAATACGACGATATGGTTGATGCAGTTCAGTAGAAATCTTGCATAGTTTTTTGGTGAAGACCGACTGAGCTATCCTTGATTAGTCGACGAACACCTCCAGAGTTGGAAGTTGCTCTCGCAACAGTCCCAAGTTACATGAAGTTAAGCGATTTAGAGGAGATACTGGTACCTTTAAAGGGCATAGATACGTAAAGGCCTTTAATGAAAGCTGCTACGGAGGGACTTAAGAATAGGCTGAGAGATTCTCTGAAGAAATGTGTGTACAGTGGGGAAATGGGGCAGTTGAAAATGAATTCCCTACTTCAAAGAGATGCTAGAGCATCCTCTGGTGATGGCACAATAAGGGGATTCCCTGCAGATAAATAAGGGTTGTTTTATGCATAAAATCTGAAGATTACTACACAGAAAATTAATTAAAGTGGCCTAATTTTGGCTATTTTTATTTAATACTATTATGAATTTATGAAATTAATGGACCAACAGGGCGTCTCGGAGGAGAATCTGATAACGATAGACACAAACTATCAACTATCATTCCTCCTAGCATGGATACAGTTCTTATTCAAGATCCATTAGTAATCGCTAAATTTAGCTGATGTGATTATTTGAAGTTCGCATGATTTTCAGCTCTCAGACTCTGTATTTCCGACAACAAAAGCACTCTGCCTATAAATTAAAAATAAGTAATGTAGTACATTGTTATAACAAATATAACCTTACTTCATCGATACGTCCACCAAAGAATGTAATATGGGAAAATGCCTGGCTTTCCTTGAAATTCACAGCTGTCCTTTGGCCCAAGGGGACTCGTGGCACTGTGGTGGAGCGGTTAACTTTTCGAGCTGACACGTTGTTCTGTCATGGTTCGAGTCCCGCTTGGAGTGTTGTTAAGACCTAGGCGAGGTCGAAAGTGCAGTCTAATCGGGATGGGAGCATCTTCGGGGAAAATATGTATGAGCGAAATTTGATGGAAATGTCAGCTCTACTCACATCATTGTGGGAAAATTCACCTTAAACGAAATACGGTGAATATATCCCATATGAAAGCAGCAGAGTTTTAAGCTTCCGATGTAGCTTTCAGTTCTCCGACCTCCACGCCGTAGACTATTCCAGACGAAAGCGGTTAGTGACAGCCAAAGGGTCAAGGAGAAACAGTACATATCCGAGGCTTACATTTTCTTTGGGTTTGCACTCGAGGCTTGACGCCAGATTTGACTCGAAGCAGCTGTAGAGACCCTCTTTGTCGGCAGTTTTGATCGGTTCTGATGCGACAGATGTTTATGCCGCTGGATCACTCTGGAAGACCATCTGACCCCGATGGCATACAAAAACGATCTCAAGGGCCGAGGATAGGCACTCTGTCAACTGAGAACCTGTAGGCAATGGCAACACACACCAGATACCGCGAGTTATGGGCGTCTGTCCATCCTGAATATGACGTAGTTCGATTCTGCTCAACTCGTGGTCACCAAAAGCATTTAGGATTTCCGACATCCCAATTCGCATAAGATGATAAAAGTTTAATTGTGAACTTTTTCAGAATTTTCCTTATGTCGAATCTTAAGATTTTCATGACAATTACAGATCCCAACCTCTTATCGCCGATGATTCACAGTCAGAAGAGGTTCAGTCAACATCATCCGGTTTACGAGATATGCTTTCCTGCATCCGGTCGGCTATCTGATCCTGGAAGAACACGCAGTCCAAGGTGTGCGTTCTTAAAGTTCGCCCTGCAGATGTGTCTAGACACATTGTCAATCTATGCTTGAGCTTAATGTTTCACAAGAACGGTGGAAATGCTATAATTGGGTGGAAGTCAAAAGTTCACTCTCCCTCACCTCCCCTTTTCCAGCCTCTTGATACAGTACTTCAAGTTCTGGAA